TGACCTGGGCCAAAGGCTGACACTTAACTGACTGAACCCTCCAGGCGCCCAGTGTTCTTTTACATTCTTTCGAATGTTCTTTCGAAGAACACCCTTCAGCATTTTTTGTAAAGCGGGTGTGGTAATGAACTCCCTCAGCTTTTGTTTGTCAGCAAATTCTTTTTGCTTACTTTGCTTCCAAAGGATAGCTTCACCAAGTATAGAATTCTTGGTTGACAGTTATTTTCTTTCAATATTTTGAATATGTCATCACATTCTCTCCTGACCTGAAAAATTTCTGTTGAGAAATCTGCTAATAGTCTTTTGATGGTTCCCTTGTATGTAACTTCTCTCTTTTCTCTTGATGCTCTTAAAATTTTTTCATTGTCTTTGACTTTTGACAATTTTAATTAAATTACTGTGTCTCAGTGTAGCCCTATTTAAGTTTAACCTCTTTAGAATCTTTTGGGCCTCATGGATCTGGATGTCCATATCTCTCCCCAGGTTCAGGAATTTTTCAGCCATACTATTTTACATATACTTTCTGTCCCTTTTTCTTTCTCTTTTTTTCTGGCATTTTCATAATGTGCATATTGTTTCTTTTTATTCTATTCTATAATTTATGTAGGCTTTCTTCACTCTTTTTCATTATTTTTTTCTTTTTCCTTCTCTGACTGGTAATTTTCAATGTCTTATCCTTTAGGTGAGTGATTTTTTTTTTTCTTTTTTTGCATGGTCAAGTCTTCTTTTAAAACTCCCTGTTGAGTTATTCAGCTCAGTTATTGTATTTTTCAACTCTAAAATTTCTATTTAATTGCTTTTCGATGGTAGCTATTTCCTTATCAAACTTCTCATTTTGTTCATGCATTGTTTTTCGAATTTTATTTAGTTGTGTGTCTGTATTGTCTTGTAATTCACTAGACTTCTTTAGATGATTATTATGAACTCTTTGTTTGACAGTTCTTAGATCTCCATTTATTTAGGGTCAGTTATTGGAACTTTATTAATTTCCTTTGGTGATGTCATATTTACCTGATTTTTTGTGGGGGTGATCTTTGTATCCTTATTAATTCTATCTGGTTATTTGAATAATTGGGCTCCTCTTCTAGACTTATAAGTTTTCTGTGGTAGAGACAGCTCTTCAACAGTCAGCTCGGTTCGGGTTTCTGGGTATGTCTTCTGGTAATGTCCTTGGGCAGGTGGGGCCTGCTATTATGCTCTATTTTGGGGCAAGCTCTGAAGGGAGTGTGTGGGGTGAGTGCCACTGGCTGAAAACAGTTGGATAATATTATGGGCTTGGTTCCCTACCCAACTGAAGCTGTAGGATGGGCTCCATGCTTGCCTGGATTCTCTGGTGAGGCTTACTAGATGGCCAGGACTGGGTTTAATATTAAGTAGTGGGTAGAGCTATGAATTGACTTCCCTGACTTGGCAGGGCAGTTAGGATGGGACTCAGGACCTTTATAATTTATTCTGGGGACCTGAATCAAGCCAAAGTGTGCACTGAATTCCCTGGTCCAGTGAGATAACTGGTTGTGCTCTACAGATAGGAGAAGCCACAGACTGTTCTCTCTGTTCAAGTGCCACTGTATGTAGGACTCTTGAATGAGCTATGCAGCTTCCCACATGCTCTGGTTAGGTTCCTTGGTTGGACAGACTGAAAATTGTATTCAGAGATAAGTGGGGTTACAAATTAGATTCTATGCCCAGGAGCAGTGGGAGAAGCAGCTCTAAAGCCATAAAGCTTTTTATTTGTTGTCTTAACTCAAGACAACCCCTACCCCAAGTTTCCTGAATAAACATGGCCACTAGGTTTGTTTTGCAAACTGATTGGCTCTGCCTGCCCACCTCTCAGCTGGAAGTGCCACAGGGCCACACAGCTTCCTGGAATTGCCAGCCTTTCAGGTTGGATGGAGCTGGAAGACACTCTCTATAGTATATCTCAGCTCCCTTGCCTAGGCAGTAGGGGAGGGGCTGCTCTAGGCTACTCTCCATTTCCCAAACAGGTTCTCTGGTTGAGAGGAATGGGAGCTAACCTCAATCTTGTCTGTGAATTAATCCCCTTGTCTGTGTCTAGCATGGGAACACTTTATAATGGCTTTGCGGGTGATCCGCTCTGTCTGCCTGACTCTTAGCTTGAGTACCATAAGTCTGCAAAGCTTCCAGGAGTTGTCATCAGAAGATATTCTTGGCTCCCTTGCCTAGGCAGGAGGAGAAGGGGCCACTGCAGGGTAGCCTCAATTTCTCAAACAGGCTTTCTGGTTGAGAAGGGCTGGGAACTACTCTCTCTTAATTTAATGACCTTGTTTACTTGAGAAACACCCATTAAGTAGGGTGATGATGTCATTCCCTCAGTTGTTCTTCTCTGCAGCTCTTCCTGTCATTGCCAGTGCCTTTACCAACTAACTTCTCTTCTTGCTCCCCTGAATGGTTTTGTGCCTTAAGGTTCAGCCTTCAGTCATCCCTTTTTCTCACTACATGCACTTGCTTTCAGTGACTTCATGTATCTCTTTGACTTCAACTATTAGCCAATGATTTCCAAAAATATACTTTTACAGCCTTAATATCTCTCCTGAAATCTAGACTTATGTGTTCAACTGTTTTCTTAATATTTTAAGACATTTCAAAAACAAAACAGTTAGAACTAAACTCATCATCCTTGACTAAAATCCCTCCTTCTTTATACTCCAGATAGTTTAGTCGTCCATAATTTACTGCTTTTTACCTGAAGTTCCTGTCTTTCATCATCTCAATTCTAAATTATATCTAATTCCATTACTAAGGCTAGGTAATTCCATTTAATAAATAGCCCTTTACCCTATTTAATAATTTTCTTTGGAATCCAGATTCTCTTCTCCAGTCATCTGTTTTTATTTTGACCTAGATTCTCTTTATTATTTTATTTTCCTAGAATATTAAAATAACCTCCAAACAAGTTAGTTTCCTTATTAAGTTTCCACCTTCTAGTACATTCTCTACTTCTACAACCAGTAAACTTTCTAAAAATCAAATATAATCATGTCACTCTCTTAAAATAGGTATATTTAATGTGGCTTCTTTCTGCACTAAGAAGTTTAGTCTCTCTAGATGACTTTTATAAAATATATCTGTGGGAAAAAATAATAAAATAAAATAAATTTGTCATACGTAAAAATTTAAATCTGTTCTTGTGCATGATCTCCAAACCAAAAAATTTCCAAATAGACACAGAAAAGGAACTATTGTACTTAGCCATAATGGTAGGTAAATGCTATATTTACCACCTAGAAAATGTAGTGGTTTTCTAGAGCTTTTCTAGTAATATAACTGATTCTTTCTGAGGAATGTCTTTTGTTAATAGATGTCAAAAATGAAATTTCTCCTCAAATGCAACAAAGGTAGAACGAAAGTGAATAAAATCATAACAGTTGTCCTATGATCCATGTCTTATGTATTTGGCTTCATTCTCTGTGAAATTGAATTTATTTTTCAGTTTTGAATGGATGAGATATGCCCATAATGGGACCATGTTAGTGTTTGTAGGCATCTTCAGTCCTCTCCATCCACCCAAAAATGCACACTTACTCACACAGAGAGTTGACATTTATTTTGTTAGTTATTCACCATAGTGTGCTGAGCTGTTGTTTTGCTAGGATTTACCCATATTGCCTTATTTAGATCTCCTCTTCAATTTTTAAGATAACTGATCAAGATTAGGGGTTGGGTGTTTGGTGAAGAAATACAAGGAAGTTAACAAAGTCCTTGTGTCCAAGTCCCACATTCATGGCAACCTTCCATAGATATTATCCCACTAATACTAATGAATTTGTCATAGAATGTGGTTCCATGAATATGTGTCTGTCCTTATCAGAAGAGACTTCTAAGTTTAAATAGTTAAAAAAATAGAAAGCATTATCTTAACTCACAATGTAATTTTCAAATTGATGGATTTGGTCTAATTGATAGCACAATGGCCTTTACCCCAGGCTTTTATTCTTGGTTGTATCCTGAGTAGCCAATGTGTATTTATCTGCAACTTTATTATAATGTTTTCTAAAGATTTAAGATGCTTTCTGGGTTTAATTTTTGCTAGATGATCTTTAAAAACCCGAGCAGAATTACAAATGAAGCTGCTTTGTTAAAACAACAAAGACTAAGGCGGTGGATTAGTGAAGTTGCATTATTCCAAACCAAACTTGATTGTCGCTATCTCTTAAACAACATTGGGCAGACATTTAAAGATTTTTTATACATTTTAATTCAGGTGGTAACTTGACTTAAAACAACACATTCTTGGTCATATATATCAGGCTAAATATCAAAATGAATTTGAAACTATTGAGCCTGTCTGCATAGGATATTAAATTCTTGGAGAGGCTTTCTCTCCCCCACGCTGATTTTCATCATTTTACTGTTACTTTCATTTCCCCTTGAGCTTTAGCTTTTTAGAATTATTATTCATTCTTTTCACCATATACCCTGATCATTAACCAATTAAAACTTTATCAGGCATAGAAGCAAGACATTCTGTGGATAACGATGAGGTTGGAAACTCTCTTGTACAACTTGTTGGCTCATATTGGAAGAAGACTGTCATGCCAAATTGTCTTTACGTGCTCATGAATAATGTTCTAACAAGGGTGGATGGAGAGATGAGCATAGAGTGTAGTTCTAACAGAAGGAATAATAGTAATATTCACCTTGGCAAAACATGCTAATGCCTTGACAAGATGCTATCTGCTCTTGCTGTTAAATCAGATGCATATTAAGTTAGCAGACCTATTGCTATCTACTATTTTACAGAATGAACTAGAAGAGAAAGAATACACCTTTCAGGATCTACAAGTCCCTCATATGACCATAAAATAATTGCATAGAGAATACCCATTTAACTTAGAGTTTATGGCACAATTGGGTGGATTGATCTTGAAAATAAAAGTGAGTCAGGCAGGAAGGAAACTGTAGTTTCTACCTACCTTTAATTCTTTATACTGAACTCTGAAATAACTGAGATTTTTGCTGTTGCTATTTCCTAAATGCAGAATTTCAGAGTGGGATTTTGATCTTTAATGTGAAGATACATCTATATTAAACCAGGAATCATTGTCAGTAACATTTAGACACAAAAATTTGGAAGATTAAACAAGTGTGAAGGTTGATCATGGAAATCAAAGAGGAAGGAGCATCAGAAGAAGGCCAGCACTTTCTTCCCACACCCCAGGCAAATGATACTGGGGACTTCCAGTTCACAAGTAAGTATGTGTTCCCCTTTCTGTAACTCTCTTCTAGAGTTTAGGTTTTATTTTTTAGCATGACTTGCGACTTTTCTTTTCAGAGGATTCCCGTTGGCCATTTATTTAACACTGCCAAACATATGCCAAACCTTTCATTTAATTTACATTATAAAAATAATCTTTAGAAAACAGTACTGGTTGGAAAAGTTTTCTAAGAAATTTAGTTTTTCAAAGCTTACAGCAGTTGTTAATAACTTTAAAAAAAATCTACACTCTTTGAAATGAACAGAAAGCTGCCTAATGATTGTCACTCGTCTGTCTTGGAAAGTCTAAAATTTTTAACCATAGTATTGTTAAATGTCAGCAGGAGAAAAAAAATGAATGGTTACCATGCAAAAAAGTGTTAACTCTGGGGATGCTTGGGTGGCTCAGTCAGTTAAGCGTCTGCCTTTGGCTCAGGTCATGATCCCGGGGTCCTGGGATCGAGCCCAGAGCCCCACATTGTGGCAGGGAGCCCCTGCTCAGCGGGGAGTCTGCTTCTCCTTCTGCCTGCCACTCTCCCCGTTTGTGTGCTCTCTCTCTCTCTTTCCCTGACAAATAAATAAAATCTTTTTTAAAAAAAGGTGTTAACCTTGTAAATAATAAATAGATGGTTTTTATACAAAGAGATGGTTCTAACGATATATTAGTAGTAAATTTAAATCGTATTTGGTAAATGTACCAATAGAAATAAACAAGAAAATTATTTTTGTAATGTTCTTACATTTATTACCACCAAATGGTTGACTTTTACATAAATTTTAGTTTTGCTTGTTTGGCCACCCATAAGTTATAATAGGTGGCATCTAAGTTCTCATCCACTTTTGTTTAAGAAGACTCCAGGCTGTGTGTGGCCATCAGATATCCACATTACCACATTATAGCACATTATCACTTGCCACAGCCTGATCTTGCTACCTTCTAGCCACTACATGTTCCCACCCTTACTTTTGTTCTCAGACCCTCCCTCCTCTTCACTCTAAATCATTTAGCCATGTTATTAGATTTCTTAAAAATCAAGAAAAAAAGGAATAAAAACATTTATCAGAACAATGATTTGAGCTATCAATAAGTTGGCAGAATAACCACCACCATAATGTCTTTCATCACCATATTAGAGATAGCTCTTTAATTAATAGTTTACTATTTACAGCAGGCTGGAGTGGTTTGAAAGAAAAGTCTATATAAGAGAGTACTTTTGTGAGGTCATTTTTTTTAAGGTTTTGCTGCTGTCTATGTGTATTTAAGAGAAACTAACAACTGAAAAATACGTTTTAAATTTGTCAAAGCTGCCAAAAACACTATCTTTTCAGTTTCTTTATAACCATAGAGCTAAGTAGATCAGTCAAAACTTCAGTCACATTTAGTTCTGCTACAAATATTATGAGAACTGATAGCTTATAAATTTGGACAGTTAGCTAAGTTAATTCTTTCTGCCAAATAATGTATTTATAAATTCTGGGCAGGGTGAAACATAGTAATATATATTAACATATTTTTGATTATGAGTTAAATGTCTTTAATCTGAATTCTTACTCATTATTTATAGGTATTCAGAAGATTCCAAATGAACCACAGTTGGAATTCATCCTTGGTAAGGAATTCCATCTTATTTATACTGGTAAATAGAATAGCAATCTGTATATATAGTTTACAACCTTACGTTGCTTATATCATTATATCACTGCTTATATCATTATATAATTTACAAACTTTTAAGAACATTGTTCTATAAAAAACCTTTCATTCTTTACGGTGTTACTTTGAGGTGAGGGGCAGGATGGGTAAAATAGATAAGGAAGATTAAGAGTACACTTATTATGATGAGCGCTGAGAAATGTTATGAAATTATTGGATCATTATATTGTATACTTGAAACTAACAACACTGTGTTCATTATACTTCAGTTTAAAAAAATAGCTGAAGGGAGAAAAAATCATTCTATGTGATGTCACTTCCCCCAATTTGTAAGTAAAGAATTTGAGCTGTAGAGTAGGTCAATTCACTACCCAGGGGTATAGGGTTCAGTGGTGACTGCCTCTCAGTCGGGTCAACTGACTGCAGATCTGGTGTCCAGCACTCATCCTAATACAGTGACTGGGCTTTGCTGCTAATCAGCGTTTCTCAAAATCTATGTGTTTATCTTCTCCTTGAGCTGGAGACTAGGCTCATATAGTTTTTCTTTAGGCCATTTACAAGGTTCCTGCCTCTTTTTTTTTTAATAATTTTTATTGTTATGTTAATCACCATACATTACATCATTAGTTTTTGATGTAGTGTTCCATGATTCATTGTTTGTGCATAACCCCCAGTGCTCCACGCAGAATGTCTGCCTCTTTTTTTTTTTCAATGTCACACACTCAAAAATCCCCTTTTTCTTCCATCTTGATTTTGTGGACAGATCCTTAGTATTTGAGAATTTAACTATAATTCAACACTTTGACTTTCTTAAGCAACTTTGAAGATCTGTCACATGTAGAAATTTGTAACTTGGTTCAAGGATGAGTTAAAAATGTGCACTCTGTGGCTGATCCACTGCTTAGCTAGTGAGTGGGACCTGATTTGTATCTGAATTTGGTATGACTGCAAAATGTCATTAGGGAATTAGCTGCAAAATGGTATTTAAAGAGGGGAAAAATGTGGTTCATATGAACCATTTAGAGAGGGTTTTTTTCTTCTTATGGTTCTAAAATGTTTTGAAAGCAATGAGGTTTTATAGAATCATACATACATGTATTCAATTTCCTATATAGAGACCGGATATCTAAATCTTTAAAGGTGAATATACATGTTTTATAAAGTTATGGGCAAATTGAAATATGTGCATTTACTATCTATAGTAGTTTTTAGTCGTTTGAAGTCTCAATATTTCCAAGAATATACATTTTTATTATATAATGAAATAGATTTCAAACTTATGTCCTTTGCTCAAAATATTACATTTTGATGTGTAACTTATTGAGATAATAACTATATATAATTTTTTTGTTTTGTTTATTTCTTCTAATAGAGTTTATTTCTAGAGCAGTTTTAGGTTCACAGCACACTTGAACAGAAAGTACAGAGATTTTCCATATGCCCTCTGACCCCATAAATGCATAGCTTCCCCTATCAGAGTGGTACATTTGTTACACTTAAAGAACTTACATTGACACATCATTATTATTCTAAGTCCATAGTTTACATTTGGGTTCATCTTAGTGTTGTATTATATTATATCTATATTATACATTATTATATATAGATATATAATAATATATCTATCATTAAAGTATCATGCAGAGTATCTTCATTGCCCTAAAAGTCCTGTGTGCTTAGTCTATTCATCCCTCTCTCCCCTAACCCTTGGCAACTACTGATATTTTTTTCACTGTCTCCCTAGTTTTGTCTTTTCCAGAATGTCATATACTTGGAATCATACAGTATGTCACCCTTTTGGATTGACCTCTTTCACTTAGTAATGTGCATTTAAGTTTCCTCTATGTCTTTTCATGGCTTGATAGCTTATTTCTTTTTAGCACTGAATAATATTCCAGTGGTTGGATGTAGCGCAGTCTATTTGTCCACTCATCTACTTAGGGATATCTTGGTTACTTCCAAATTTTGGTAATTATGAATAAAGCTGTTTGCAAGTTTTTGTATAGTCCTAAGTTTTCAACATCCTTGGGTAAATACCAGGGAGCACATTGTTATATGGTAAGAGTATGTTTAGTTTTGTAAGAAATTCCCAAATTGTCTTGCAAAGTGCCTGTACCATTGTGCATTCCCACCAGCAATGCATGAGAGTTTCTGTTACTCCACATCCTCACCAGCACTTAGTGTTGTCAGTGTTCTGGATTTTGGTATAATTCATTTTTTAAAAACATTTTATTTTTGTTACAAATGTAGCTAAAACGTATTGTAAGTTAAGGGTTCTAGATTTTTTTATTTTCCCTGGTATGAAGAAACAGAAATGTGGAAACTCAAGAAACTTCTGTGGGAACACCAAAAAACTATACTTTTTTTTTTCTAGAGAGTTCTCAGATAGTATCAGATATAGAAAGAACTTGTTTGAGAAAGGGAGCTGAGTAGCAAAAGAAGTCTAGGTACCTCTTGACTCACTGTAACTCTTGCTACTTGAGCCTTTATCTATTCATCTTTCATTTTTAAGGGAAGAAAAAAATTTTTTTTTACTTTTTTATTAGGATTTCAAAGAGTAAAGATTTGTTAGAGTAACAGTGTTACTCTAAAGGCTTCTTATTTGCATCTTGGAGAGCAAGGTAAAATCTGAAGGAGGCAGAGACAATTGGAGGAGAGGCTGTTAGTCAAACATGGAGGCCAGCTTTCAAGAGAAAGAGTGCCTAGGCCAAATACATATCTTCTTTTTCAAATGAAGTTATCTGTCTTGTTCAAAGACCTAGCTATATTATTTTGTTTTGAAAGCCCAAATTCAGTAGCAATGTTGTTGTTATTTATATTTCTGGCTTTAAATCATAGATCTAAGAGGTGAGCAGCTGTGACAATTTATTCATAATAATATTCCTCCCATAAAAAAACTTCAGTTTTCTTTTTTCATATTTATTCAGAAAAACCACTAGAATTCTTAACAACAGATAATTTTATCTTATCATGTGGCAAAAAATGCCTTACAAGTAAACAAAGTTATTTAGAGTCGTCAGGAGATTGTGTTGTTTGTCCTGGAAGATATACTCCCCAAACTGTTTGTTATGCTTCTGAGCATTTTTAAAATCCTCAATTGTAGTATTTCTTAAAAAAAAAAAAAAAAAAGCCTTTTGAAACTACTCCTTCAAGGATATTACAATTAAACCCATGTAGGTTTTACTGTATATTTTTTGGTACTTTTTTCTTTGAGTTTTTTTAATCCCACAAATTCTTTAAGACTTCACCTGCTAACTAGCTAACTTCATAATAATGAGAGAATAATAGTTTCCTAAATATTTTTATCATTATTTAAAAATGCATATTTATTTAATCAAAAAAACAAGGCATCTTAATACAAAAAAAATTTTAAAGAATTAAAGTAGGAGGCTCTTGTTCCATCTAATTTTTCAACTAAATTTTTATTTGATTCCTGATTCTTTGCCAAAATATTCAAATAAATTGAGAATCTCAATGGTTTGTTTTAAATTGGGAAAATAGCTATGCTAATTTTGCTAGGTGTCATATTGCTTTGTATAAGTTATTTTCCATTGAGGATTTGTTTCTGCTTTGTCTGTATGCCATTATAAAATCAGTATATCTTGCTGAAGTTCCTCTGCTACATCTTTATTCAAGTAAATGAGGTAGGAGATGCTTAGTCAATTGAGCAAGCTAATTGGTTTAAAAATGTCTCGATAACACAAGTTCAGCATTTACCGAAAAAGTATCTCAGGTCCATTGCCATTATATTTCTAGTGGTTTACTGAATTTAAATTATGTAACTCACCCTTACATCTGCAAATCTGCTTCCACATTTTTTCATTATTTCATTTGAATGTGTTGATACCCTTTTTATGTCCACGAAGAGAGAAATAATTGACAACCCAAGAGAACACAGATTTTCTTACAGTTTAATAAAATTGTTTTTATTTTTAAAAAATAAGCATTTAAAAAGAGAGATCATGGGGTACCTGGGCGGCTCATTCGATTAAGCATCAGACTCTTGATTTAGGCTCAGGTCAAGAGCTCAGGGTCCTGGGATGGAGCCCTGCTTCAGGCTCCCTGCTCAGCAGGGGAATCTGCTGTTCTCCCTTTCCACCCCTCCTCCTCCCTCCCCCTGCTTTTGCTTGCCTATGTGCTCGCATGTGCTCTCTCTTTCTCTCTCTGTCTCTGTCTCTCTCTCTCCCTGAAAGAAAGAAAGAAAGAAAGAAAGAAAGAAAGAAAGAAAGAAAGAAAGA